TGATTAATCATTTCTTAAAAGTTATTAAATATATTTAATATAACATTTTTTAAAAAGGTACATAAATCTTAATGTTTTATGGGCTTATTTTTAAATCGTTTATTTCTTCTTTCTGGTTTCTTCCTTCTTTTCTTTGATTACTTTTATTGATCTTATCATTGCCTATCTATATCAAAAGGTAATTCAATTAGAAATAGTTGCGGCCCATGGAAAAATAGTGCATTTTCATGACAGAAGAACAAAGGGAGATAGATATAGAGGGAGACAGGGACAAAGACAAAGAAAATACACGCACCATCATCATCATCATCATCGCACTGATCATTGCTTATGATCATGTTTATATATCTTTCCGCTGCCTTTCGTTCATTCTTCGTTCTTTTGTTCTTTTTTTACATCGCTCCTTCTTATTCATCTTGTTCTTCTTCAACTGCATACCAAAAAAAGGAAAAATAAGAAAAAGACCCAGCAAAGGCGGACAAAAACTCGCTTCCTTTTTTTTCAAATGTATATTCTACGTTCTTTTTGCTCTCTTCTTCTTTTGCTGGTGCTGGTGCTTCTTCTTCTTCTCGGTTGGCAGCACTTAAGACCTGTTTTTTTGAGTCTCTCTCTATCTCTCTTTCTCTTTCTGATTCTCTCCCGTTTCCTTTGTGCTGTGTATTCTTGTTTGTTGATTCACTGCACAAATAAATCTCGGCTTTGAATGTTATCGAGGTGTGCAGGATTCTCTGGTTGCCCTTTTTTCGCTTTTCTCATTTCATTCTTTCCGATTGTCAAATATCGTTTTTGGAAGCGAGATTTAAAAAAAAACCCTTGGCACAGGTAGATCCTCAAATACATACCGATACATAGTGCATTGTTTTATCAGTCTTTCAGCAGGTAAAACTAATGCCAAAAAAAATATAAGGGAAAAGGAAAAACAAAAAACAAACGAAGCGAAAAAGAACGCATTTTTACTGCCTATTGGAGAAATCAAGTTCGCTGCTTCAGTCTTTCGATTATAAATTGCTAAGGCAGTGAACTTCAGGTTGGCAAGTAATTGGAAGAAATACTGCTAGGAAAAAAAGAAACATTTGTACATTTTTAAGAAAAATTTAATCAATATTGCCAATATTTCCTATATGCACATTTAAAATAGATTATATTCTTTATTATCTATCATTCAAAGAATTGATTTAACAAAGTGGGGTGTGCTTTTGAATTGTTCAATTGGTTAATTATCAGCCTTTGTATTAAAGCATGTTTCAAGTAGTTTCCAAACATTTTGTTGATTAAACTATTGTATTTTGTAATAATTTTTTGAATTAGAAAATGAAGAGTTTTAATTAACTTCATAATCTTTTATAAGGGCCAGGAAATTAATAACAAGAATTGAGTCTTATTTCTACTTATTTTTGTGAAAGAAGAAGGATTAAATTAAGTTAAATTCTCGAATCGTATTTTGTGATTTATTTATTTGGTATTCTCTTGGCATAAGAATAACTATGATGACTATTTTAAATTCCATTGCTTTTTTGATTGTACATTATTAGCTTTTTCATTCAGACTTACAACATTAAGATATTTAATATCAAATAAGAAGGTTTACCAATATGAGACTTGAATAATCAATGCCGAAATGTTTCTCATTAGTCTATATTCCATTTACATATGTATGTTCAATCAAGAGGAGATCCCCATCTCAACTCCAATTAGTTGGAGAACTCAGAGTGAATCCACTGGGATCAAGCGCTTAATTGAAAAAACAATAGAATTGATTTGATTTCCAATGAAAATCTCAGCGCCTGAGCACTCGCACTGGCACTATGAAGTAATGGGTTTTGGGTTTTGTTTTCCGTTGTCCCCTTGTCTTTCTCTTTTTGCATTTACCATTTACCTCATTTACCACTTGACTTTTGCTTTTGACTCGTCGTCTGTTTTGAGACGGTGAGTGTTGTTTGCCGAGGGTTCGCTGAACTTGTCTCTGGTCTTTGGAGAAGGGTCGCGAGGTCTTTAAGGGAACCTTTCGCTAACTTCCGCTCGAGGATTGCAACATCTGCGTGTAAGCTGCGTGTGCAATTGAAGTTGCGGTTCTAATAACAGCTGCAGAATTTGCATGGATCGCTCTTCTTTTCACTCCTTATTTATTTTTTGGAAATTTCTTTATCGCTCGATCGGTCGATCAATGAATTTCCTTTCAGTTATTTATTGACTTTTACTAGCGGGGCCAGAGAAATTCGCTGATATAAGATACAGAAAAATGTAACAGGAAGTTATGCTCATAACTTCCAGCTGTGGAGGGCTAAAAAACTAGGAGGAATTCTTAGCCATATATGCATGAAGTTCAGTTCTTTGGCTTACTCGGACATCTCTCTTTCTCTCTCTCCTGACTCGTTTTTTTTCTTTTAGCAATATTCATCCTCCAAGGCCCTTTAGCATTTCACAAGCTCTGTTCTGTTGCCTTTTTGCCTCTTCTGGTGGGTTTCTTCTCCCGTCTTCATTTCGACTGGTTCTACAAGTTTTATTATGGCCAGTTGCCTTGACTTTGCTTAGGCCAAATGGCAGACGACGTGCCTACAATGCACCCCACCCAAAGTCCTCATCCTCCTCCTCCTCCTCCTCCTCATCAACTGAACTTGGCTCTCATGATCATGATCATCTTAGTCATTGTGTGTAGTTGGAACTTTAGCGCAAGTCTAGGCTGCGAAACAAAAAAAATGAGTTCTTTTTCTGCTCCACACTCTTTTCGCTTCTTTGGGGTTTGACTTTGGCTTTGGCTTTGGCTCTTCATCTTCTGCAAAACTTGTACTTTTGCCTGGTCGAGAGGAGATTTTTTTAGCTGACTTTTAGTACCTTGTACTTTGCTAGTTATATAATTTTTTTCTTTCGTTCTTGCTTTAGTCTAGTGTGTGAGTGTGCGCTCAAGTGTGTGAAGTTCTTGGCCATGGGCACAGTCCACAAAAGGTAAGAAAAACACGAACCGTAAGCGGTAATTGAACAAAAAGTGAACAGGCAGTGTGACCAGCGGGGTTTTCAAAATCAGAGCAGCACGAGAATACAAGAAGAGTAGGTAATTAATTTAAAAGATACAACTAATCGTATATAAAGGTATAGGTATAATAAGAAATCTTAAGAGCACAAATGTTTGAAATAACGTTATAAACAAAAGAGCACTAATTTTACAGTGGCCAAAGATACATTTATTGGCAATTTATATTTCTCAAGATTATGTCAAAAACCTTGATGTACTCATTCTTGCCCATACATTTTAAAAAACTAACCTTTAAAGTGACATATATAACAACAACATCTTAAGATATTAACATCCTAAGATATATTACATAAGACTTATTAAGTACTTCAAAAATATTAATAAAGAAATCTTTTAATGAAGACTACTTCACCTAAGCAGATTAGATCATAAATTTATATATAACCAATTTTGCAATATTGCTTCTAGTATATATCTAAGGTTGCGAAACGATTTCCCTTCAAATAGCTTCCATTACAATATCCGCAGAAATCATAAAAATTATACAGCGGAAGCGTTCATAATACATTTTTAAGTGGATAGGCGATAGAGATGATGAAGGGAGCTTGGCCGGCGTTAAACAGGAGGAACCGAGAACGCAACGTGTTATTTAATTTAATAAACGTATATAGCACTCTACTCGCTCCATGGAAATAATATATATAAGTTATAACCATGAAATATAATGCCCGAGTAAGGGGCAAAATTATGAGGCTGCGTGTGAGAGACGATTCTGTCGAAGTGAAGCCGTGCTATGGTTGAAAAAAAATATTTGTATAATTAAGGCCAGACAAAGGGCAGTTAAAAAAGCTTAGAAACAAAAGACTTAAGCGAAAAACTTGAAAGAACGCAGAAATAAATTCACTTTCAAATAAAATCGAAAAGAACTTAATTAATAAACCCGCCCCGAATCGAAGAAAGTTCTTCCCGCCTAATCATGTATGAAAATTTAAAACCTTTAACCTAAGCTCACCGCCTAAATCGAAATGACTTAATAAGCATGCTGGGCGGTTATATAACAGATACAGAAGCACACAAAAAAAAAGAAAACTGAACACAGAACCGAGACCAGAACAGACTGAAACTCTGGTTGGGCTTTTGGCAAAAAAAATAAATAAAACGAAATAAAAACGCTTACGAAATTCAATGAAAGTGATTGATGTCGAAGTGAACCCATAGCTCCGCTTGGAGAATGGAAGATAGACAGGGCAGATATAGCTACAAAGATACGCTGGGGACGAGTTCGTCATGGTGTGGGCGAAAAAAAACTAAAACAAATAACAAAAGCTGCCCAAAAGTGAAGCTTGAAACTTGAAAAGATTTCCAGGCAATAGATATGGCAGTTTGTATTTCTTGGCGATTTGCCATCGGCCAATATACTGACTGACAGATTTGTAGCAATTATTTATTTAAGAAAATTAAAATTCTTTGCATTGTTCTTTGAGTTTTTTTGTTGAAAGAATTCTTAAACGAATCTTTGAACGCATTTATATCGTGAAGAAGTATCTAAGGTAACATTTTTTCAAAGACCTTTGTCAGGCTTAAAAATTAATTTTACTGGTTGAGAGAAATAAAAGGTAAACTGATTGATATAAACCGAACAAATTTATTTAACTAACCAGATTAAAATCACTTTAAACCAAGATCTTCATTATAAAGTGTAATCAAAGCTTGGGAATTACTGGAAAACCGAAAATAATACTAATGAAATACAACATTTATTGCATTTGCTTATGAACCAAACATTTAGAATTTTTAAGAAGAAAAGATAAGAAATAGGAATGCAATGTTTTTGAGTTCTTTAAGCTAATCAAAAACTAAGAAGACTAAGTTTCTAGAACCTGTCAAGAAGTTGGTTAACAAAAGCCCTGGTTAACAAAAGTCTCCAAGACTCTTCAAAAATTTTACTCTAAACCTAAAATGTTTTCATTTTAGGGAATTTTTTTGGAAGATTTTTGGTGTTTTTTTTTTTTAGAGAATTTAAACTTACCATTTTGAACTTGGCCTGTGGCGCGTTCGATGTCCAATTCCGCAGGATTTTGTGTTTGATTTAGGTTTAGAACCGGGTTCGGGCTCTGATTTTGATTGAGATGATCGAGACTGTGGCGCGATTGTCCGAAGTAGTGGCGACGGTGGTGGAATCGCTTTCGCGTGAGGCTCAGCGGCTGTTGATCTGCTTCGGGCACCTGTCCGAGCACCTGTTGCCCCTGACCTTGCGGTTCCGGCGGCGGCTGGGTGGTGGGCGTGGGCGAGGGGGCGCTGCCACTCCCACTTGGGCTGAGTGGTGGCACCAAACGCTCATCATCCTGGTTTTTGTGTTGCAGCAAGTTTTGCGATTCGAGCAAACGTTGTTGCTGCTGATGCAGGCGATTTTTGATCAGGAATATTTTCGGCATGATGGATTAGCGATGATGCAGTGTGCAATTTGCGATTGATGATAAGCGATTTGCGATCAACGAAACGAAACGCGACGACGACACGCGACGATTTCAAGGAGGCGGCGATTTTTTGATTGGGTGGACGAGGGACAGTCACAGTGGGTCCGAAATAAACAAGACACTAATCCAATTGTGTGTGTATGTTTGTTCGCCGCTCGTCCACTGTGTTAAAAAAAAAAAATTGTTTAATTTCAGTTTTGATTTTCTCATGAGCACAGCTCAAGTCAACTTTTGTTTGGCCCTCTTCATGTCTTTTGAAATTTTTTTTAGTTTTTTCAAGTCAAAAAAGTCATTTATAAATTTACAGAGTTATTTTGAAGTTCTGCTTTTTGGTTTGTTTTTATATGGGAGTTTTTATTCGATTTCCTCAAAAAACTTGAGGAAAAATGTTCTCGAAAAAAAAAGTTCTTTCAATTTTGATCAGGAAAATATGTTTTCTTAGTTTTTAAAATTTTTGTTCAAATTATCAAGGCTTATCCCCTGGTTTAAAAATTTGAGTTGAGAAAAGTGGTCTTTCTCCGATTTTGAAAATTCATATTTTGGGTTCTCAAACACTTTTTGGGTTCTTGTTTTTTTTTTCGGCGCACTTGTAAAAAATATTACTTGAAAAAAATTTGTTTTGCTGTTTGGTTTTCATGTATTGGTTTTCTTATATAATGATGCACAACACTGTGTTTTAGTATTTTTAAATTGTATATTTAATGTGTGTTTTCTAGTTAGCTTTGGTTTTTTTTGGGTTCGCCCAGGTGAGTTGAAGCGAAAACACGTGCAGTCACAACGCCGGTTCGCCACTTACTGTATTCGAGGTAGTCAGTTAGGCCAAACCAAAGTCAACCGATCGATCTCGCCGCTACAACAAACTCAGTTAGACGGCGAATTTAAAACACCGTAAGACGTGAGAGAGAGAGAGAGGGAGAGCGAAACTTCGCTTTCGTACGTGAGCGATCGTGTGAGTCAGAAATAACGAGATATGATATTCGCTGTCGCCGCGGATCTGGCGTCGCTTTTTCGCTGCCCAGGTGAGAAAAGCGGCGAGGCGAGCGCACCTGTGTGAGAGAGAGTGAGAGTGTTTTGTGTGCGTTGCCTCATTTCGCTCACATAACGTTTCTCATGCAGTTTCTCGCTCTCTCTCTGTCGCTCTTTTTCTCCTCAGAGTCAAGGTAAGTCATAATGATGATCACGATCATGATCGAGATCGCTGGGTTCTTCGTCTTGGCCATTTGCCGGTTGAGAGGTTTTTTACTCTATTCCGGGAGCTGTACTTGTTGTACTTATAGTTTTGGTTGATTTGGAAATATCGGGCGGATTTCCAAATTTGGGATTTTTAAAACTCATGAAAGAGAATACTAAAATTCAAATAATGTGTTGTACTTTAATTTACCCACTGTTTTTTTTTTAATTTGCATGTTCTTATTGAGTTTTAAAAAATTTTATTGAGTTTAAAAATATAATTTTGAATTAAAAACCCACGACACGGTTTGAGCAATATACATCTGGTAAAGTAATCAAATATAGAGAAAGGCAAAAAGAAAATTTTAAATTCCCTAGATTTTAGGTTAATTTATTATTATTATTTTATATATATCGTTGGGTATTACAAATATTTAAATAAAAACAATGAACTTTAAATGTATTCATTTGCCTAGTGTAATAAGTAAGTAACAGAGGTTCCTGAAAATTATAAATTTTTATTCAAATATTCTGATAAGTTCGTGTCCTAAGTCTTTTGGTTTTTTCGCTTTCAAATTGCGAAGAGCAAAAAAAAGAAAAAGAGGGAAAAGAAGGTAGGAAAAGAAAAAGATTCCAATAGTTTGTTTTCCGCGGCCCTTTAAGAATTTCATCATCATTGTCCCTGTGTGAGTGTTTTTATCGAAGGAAAGAGAGCCGCAGCAAATACAATAAGAAACAACGAGCCGAATAAGAAGAAGCAGCAAGTGGAAAAAAGTACCCATATAAGCGAAATTAAACGGCAAAATAGTTGGCAACGCAGGCATTTCTCGCTCTCAGGTGTGCGACTTGCCCTCTCGCTCTCTCTCACCTGCTCTCTCTTGTGTGTGTAAGAATGACGATCGCTTAGAATGCGCTTAGAATAGCAAATAAGATTGAGAGCGAAAGAGAAACGGATAGAGAGCCAATAAGAGAGCCAAGCCTAGCTCCATCTCTTTCCAACCCACACAGGTGCGCTGCCAACGGATAACTAACGTTATTTCACACACACATCCAGAGCAAGTGATGTAAGCGACGGCGAATTCAGAGCGTCGCACACCTGTATCAAACACACACTACAAATACAGACGCACGCTTACGCTCTCCTGCGGCGACGTAACAAATTTACAGCTAACTTTGAGCTAGTGTGAGAGGTGAGAGAGAGAGGGCGACGTGCCGAAGGTAAAAACGAAGACGATCTAACAGCCGAAGCTGAAAACGAAGTCTCTTTCTCGCAGGTGAGAGAGGCGCACCTAAAGAAAATATTGTCATCCTTCTAACTTAATTTAATTTAAAATAATATCAAAATATTTGAATAGACGTTTTAAAAACCTAATTTAACGTGCGCAATTGGTTCAATTCAGGTCACAAAATTTAAAACCGCAGGAAACACGCAGTTCAATATGAAATAAAAAATGAAAGACCTTTTCTATTTTATTTTAACAACGAGATAAAGATCAAATTTTGTATCGTTTAATGGCGTAAAAGCCATAAGCCCGGGGTTAAATTCCAAACATAATTTTTCATATTTTTTTACTCATCAAAACGATAAGTTAAATCTTCAAAAAGTTTTTTTTTAAAACATTAATTTTTCTTTATCTGTATCGATGTGTATCGTGAGAGAATTTGAGATAGAGCGGCTTGGAGAATAAGTGGCCGAAGAGGCAGCTCAGAAAACCTGTTGGTAACTTTGGCTTTGACTGTGACTTTGCCGTTGAGGCAGCGGCAATGTTAATGTCGTGATGTTGGCGTTAGCAGAGGTTTTCCTCTGGTTCTTCTTCTTCTCGATCGGTGGAGCCTTCTGAAGAACATTTCACTGTTCTTGTTGTTGTTGCTGGTGTATTGTTCCTGCGCCAACTTCACTCTCACTCAAAAAGCCGCTTGTTGGCCAAAATGCAAGTGTTCTGGCCCAGAACTTATATATAAACAGATTTTTGGGCCTCCGAAAATTTGGATTATGAATATTTATTAATGTATAGAAATTAGTTTGGCTTTTTGTGGTTTTATTTAGTTATTTATTGGTGCTTTAAGTGATGAGGAAAAAAATGAATTTTTTATTTAATTTAAAAATAACTAAAAATTGATTGTGAGCTATAAATAAGCGAAAACCATTAAATCTAAACATTTTTATCGATTTTAAATGTCATTATTTAAAACCCTCTCAAGTACAGGCAAAAATGTACGGTCTTGTAGATATATAAACAATAGTTACTGCTTTTTTGTATGAAATAGTCAAAATTTAATGTTGTTTGAACAGTTAACCACGATAAAAATCCTAGCAACCTCAAAGTTAGATAGCGGATAAAGATCTCTAACCAAAAGCGAATCTCAAGTTCTTGATTGCGAATCCAAAGAGAATCGAGCTTGTTGTTGCTGTTGGCCCAGACCTAGGCCACCAAAGGTATAGACCAAGACCAACACTACTCTCCAGATCCATATATATCTTTTCTATGTGTATATATATAGAAGTGTTTGTGGAATTGCACATGGTCTTAGTGTGAGTGTGTTCACTGGGCTGTTAATGCCTTGACTTTGGCTTTGGTAGTTGGGTTCTTGGTTAGTTGGGTGGGATTTGTTGGGGAGGCGGGGGGCGTTGAATGGGCGTAGAAGAGGGCTCACAGAACCAGCAGAATTTTCTCGTTTTTGCTGTCTGCATCTTCTGCCCCGACCTGCACCGACCTGCCCCTCTGCCCATCACCCCTTTCGCTGGGTAATTGCTGTGTTTAAGAATGTGTTCCTTTGGGCCTCAATGCGCTTGCATCGTTCGCTCTCACTCGCTCTGTCTCAGCTTGTTGTTCTTGCCATTGTGTGGTGGTTTTGTACACGCAAAAAAATACCCACCTTGTAAAATTGTATTTCAATAGGGTTTTACTTTGAAAATTTTCAATTAATGCTCACAAAATAATTTGTAACTTAAAATTGTGATTTAGTTGAAAGCTTTCATTAGATAAAAAACCGTAACTTATTTTAAAATATAAAACTGTTTTTCCTGACTTACATTTTTATATTTAAAATTATAGATTAGTTTTAACAAAATAATTCTTAAATTTAAAAAATGTCTATTAATCTTTTTGATTACTTAAATATTTATAACTTGACCCCACCAATTTTGAAGTGTCATTGTAATTTACTTTTTTATTTTTAGAATGCATGCACTTATTCTTATTTAATAATCTTTTTTAATGTTTAGTTATACAATTTACAAATGCAATGCATAATTAAATCGAATTAAAGATTGTAAAGTGATTTATGGAACCAGGAATTAGAAATGACTAGTTTTTTGTTATTTGTAACAAATATAATTTACAGCCTTAAATGTTTGTTTTCTGTGTTCCTATAATTTTTTGTTATTTTTTTTGTTTTTATCTTTATTTGCTCAATTGTCGTCATCGACGGCGTCTTGCTAAAATAATGCTTCAAGTGAAGTAAGAAACAGCCAGCCAGCCCATTGTGGTGGTAGAAGAGTAAAAGCAGCAACAGCAGCAGAAGAACACGATCATCACGATGGTCATGATGAGCGTGGCTGAGCGGCTGGGAATACCTGTTTTACCTGTTTGTATACCTACTAACGTACTAACACTGTTATAGCGGATTCAACGCGCACCGCACACGCCTGACAACAACAACAACTAACCACAACAAAAACAGCAATTGAAGACGCGACCAAAGCGAAGGAAGCACATGAAAAAGAGGAAGAAGCCGCTGGAGAGAAAGAAGAAGAACTTCCAGTACCAATCCCAACGCCCAAAAACCCCACACACATGTATGTATCCATCCGACTTCGATATTTAGATACCTATTAATAAAAAAGTTTTCCTCCGTAGTGGAACGAATATGATATATTATGGGGCATTTATTAATGATGTTATGCATATCCAATTGTAGAATGACTTTACGGAAAGGTGACTCAGACTTACACTTCTGGGCCTAACATTTGATTTATTGAAAGTCGATCTCTAAAAAGCATATTTGTAAAAGTTTCAGTTAAATTCCCTAATAATGTGCATTTAAAATTTATTGCTTTGGAAAAAGCAGAAAAAGTGACCCAAAACTGCATTTTGTGAGCGCATAAATTTATCAATTTGAAATAGATCTCAAAAAGGCATTCCTTTAAAAGTTTTCGTTTCAATTATCTGATAATCTGCATTGCCAATTTTGGAAACCGACGTATGCCGTGCTAAAGATAAAGTTTGGTGACCTCAAAACATTATTTTTAAGATTTGCGGACAAGTGTAAGGTATTATTGGTTCTATAAGAGCAAGGAAGCGGTTTTCTTTTCGTTATTTGCCGAATGTAGAAACCGAAGTCGAATCCGAGTTCTCTTCTACACTTTATTTTCTTTAAAATCATCTTCTCTCATCACTCTTTTCTCGCAAGCTTCTTTGGGTTCTTTTGCATCATAATGGTGATAATGATGATGATGATGATCTTGGGCCTGGACTTTGGTTACATCTTTTGCAGACTCCACTTGGTCCCTGCCACGCCTCCCTTGCCCCAATCACGCGTCCCCTTTTAACCCGTTGTTTGTTTGCTGTGTGTTCCTTTTGTGCCGTTTTATTAACGCTTCACTTTTTTCCAATGCCTGTTTTGTCCACGTTCCTTTCTGACGCCAGGAATTTTGCTCTTCTTGGCCTAACCGATGTCTATTTCTGGCCAAGAAGAGCGCGAAGACGCGAGTGAAATGGTAAGAAGGAGAAGAACTTGTGTTGGGGGTCACTGGGAGACGGCTAATTTATGTTGAAAATGCAAAAAATTGAAAATATGCAACGGCGATCGAAGTGAGGAGATGAAAAAAGTAAAAAGAGGTAAGAAAACGGAGCAAATAGGGGGAGGAGAAAGAAAGGAAGAGGATCTGAAGAACATGGTGTTGCCAAGAGAAGATTAAGGCGCACTGGGAATAGACGGAAAAAGGGAGTAACGCGTGGGATTTGAAATCTAGAAAAGTTAGTCTGTAAGGAATATAAAAAGCGAAATTTGGAAAATAATGAAAGGTTGCACTAAATATAATTATAATTATTAATACTATTAATAATAGGCTTTAAAGGCTATAACAAAAGATAAGTCCCTAATTGTAATTAAGAAAATGTAACCAAACATTTTTAGCCGACCGATTCCCAAGTTGAACTTTATCACGTTCGCCAGTTTCCTTGTCCACTTTTTATAGTACAAGTTGAAGCCAACACGTAAAACGAAATACAAAATTAAATTTAGCTTACAAATTATCATTGTCATCAGCGCGGCTGTCGACACCCTTCTGTTTCTGCTGCTGCCTCTTCTTTATGGTATGTGATATATATAAAAATAAATGTATAACCATGTGCACATGAACAGAAAAAAAAACTTAATTAAAATTGTATGCAAGGTCGAAATTAGTTGCCAGCGTGGCCCTCAAGCAACAGCGGCACGAAAAAAAAAGATTACTTTATTCATAATTCATTTAAGAGAGCGCACGCATTCGCGCAGGGCGCCCCACCCCCAGAAAGATTCGCCCCCCACTGAAGCGTCATGCGCACGTTTTTTGACTAATTTTCAAAAACGCAAACGAATCGAAAAAAACTACTGAACATCAAGAAAACCTGATTGCAATAATAATGAGATTGTTTCAGAATGAGATATATTTATGAGCGTACATGCTGTCTATAAAATTAACAAATATACTCTTAAATTTATATTGATACTTATCTTGAATCTGTATTTTGTATACCTTATTTAAAATCAATTTTTCGCTGAATCGAAAAAAATTGGTTTTTTGTGTAGGTATGTAGTATGGTTATTTTTATTTTATTATAAGTTTTTTACCACAGAATTTTTTTTTTAGTTTTAAGTGAAAGCTTTAAGTTTAAGCTTTTTATAATTGCTCATTTGTTGTATTATTATTGTATTCGTGTATTGAATACATTTAAAACTCCTAAGCGCAAAAACAGTTAGCTAGATTTTGAAACAAATGACTTAAGACACAAACTTGTTCGTTTGCTAAAATGTTAGAAGGAAATAAAGTAATATTAAAAAACTAAAGATATAAAACAATTTAAGAAATATAGATCTTAAACAAAAGACTAAGGACACGAACTGAAATTTCTAGGTTGATAAAAATGTAACAATACTTTTATCTTATCTTCTTATTTTGCCACTTGTTTTCTGTGAAAGGATTTGGCTTTGAGTTATTTTTTTTGTCGTTTCTTGGCACCACCCACAAAACAGAAACCGCCAACACAATAGTTGAGCTGTCAACAGATTTTCGCATTTTTAGCATGTTACGCATAGGTAGGCGTACTTTTGGTTTTCGAAGGCGTGGCATTTTCAAACCCTGTGGCTTAGCTGGGATTAGCTTGACCTTTTTTTGTATGGTTTTTGGTGCGCTCAGCGGGGGAATCCTCAGCGTTATACAATAATACTCATGATGATGTTGATAAAGGCAGCAAGACAACAACGCAACAAGTGCAAGTGACAACAACAAAAGTAACGACTGCAATTGTCGGCTTTTTCCTCAGACCAAAAACAAAAATCGGAGAAAAAAAAAGAGACCCAGACACAAAAACGAGAAATAACAAAAGCAGCGCAGCAGCAGCAACAACAATGGTAACAAGTGCTCGCAAATTGTTGCCTGCACAACAGACACCAACAACCACAATGGATTAACCATTAAACTTAAAATTCAAATTCAAGTTCATGATGAATGTATCACGTGCAAAGAGCCAGAGCCGAAGTTTTGTTGGCTGGAGTCTGGCATTTTTTGTTTTTTATTTTTTCGGTCTTTTGACTCCATCGTTTGGCGGTTGATTGTTGGCTTTTTTTTTTCTTCTTCTCCGATGTCTGTACTTTTTGTGTGTTGCGCAGTCGAACACGACAAGTACAACAACAGCAAGCAGCAGCAGCAACGAGAACAAGCTGGCTGGCTGGCTGACTGGCTGCTTTGTACCTTGTGGTAATAAGTGGCTCGATTTTATTTTTCTATTTTGGTCATAACCAAAGTGCCGTACAATTTCTGGGTATTTGGCTTTTTCATAACAACAACTTGAGATTGAAAAATTTAACCGGATTTAAAAAAAGGTTAATCGTTCAAAAATAAATAATTACCTAATTCTAAATTCAACAAAAATTTTGGAATAATAGAGTAACAGTTAAAAAAAAAAAATACTGTAAAAAAAGCATGCCATTTAAAAGCGTCAATAAAACTCCTTCCGTTTCAAAATAATATTTTTTTCACCTTTTAAAAAAATTGTTATAGAACAAATATTTACATATATTTATATAAATTATTATTATTTTTTTAATGTTGTGTTTTGTCATTTAAAATTCAAATTGTGTAAAAATTAAAATTGTATAATAAGAAAAACAAAGATGTGCATTAAAAATATGGAAAAGGTCATAAATAAAAAAAAATAATACTGAATTTTAGCATATTTTGAAGAAGGCAACTTCAGAGTTCAACCATTTTTGGTTGTCAAGAGATTTTATGTATTTTTTATAATACCAATATTTTTTGGGTAGCACATTAAAAAGGTGGCTATGGCTGGGCTTTTTGCACCTTTTGATTTTTCCGATTTGCTAGTCGGAATGGGCGGTTTTTGGGTGTCTGCACGTATTCACACAGATACGCACGCACACCTTCAACGGGGCTTAGACTTAGAAACACATACCAGCGCAAAAACACGTACAAGACAGCAACTTGACTTGCCGGAGCTGTTTATTTTTACCTTTATAATATTTTTTATCTTTTTTTTTTTGGCTATTTACCGCAGTTGAACATTTTTTGCGCTTAGTTGTTTCTCGTTGTTGTTTTTGTCATTACCGTAGCTCGTCTGTTTTTCTTTTCCTTTTTCTTTGGAACATTGTCTGATGGAGTTGTTGTTTCTCGCCGCTTTACATCATACTTCTACTGACTTTGGACAACAAACATTTCCCACTCTCTTTCTTAACCTTTTATTTCTTTCTTATGTAATTTTCGTCGTCGCTGTTGTTTGCTGTTGTTCATTGGCAGCAATTATGCAATGATCAGGTAGCACTTCCAGAATATTTACCATGGGCACCACCCTTTTTTTTTTTTGGTGTCTTTCAAGGTGATCCGAAATTAAGTTTGACTTTGAGAGCATTACATGAGTGATTCGGTTCCTTTTGTCTGATACCAATCGAAATCTATGTGAAAAGATAGCAATTTGGATAATTGAATTTGCCGCTGAACAAGAGCTGAGGCTTCCATTATCTTGTTGTGTTTGATTTGGCTCAGCTTAATTGTGCCATGCGACCGTTAATTTGACTAATGACAAATTTCCTGTCTGCTTCCTGTTGCTTGGTGGTAAATGGATAGCAGAATTGCCAATTTATTCGACCAGGGAGTTACCCATTTAATATATTTTTTTATTTATAGGAAACTTGGCTCAGTAATTTGTTATATTAAAACCTTTTTTGGAAATGAACATGTTATCCACTATTAAATATAAATTGAAAATCAGACTTGCATTCTGTTTCTCACCTAATAATATAATTATTTTCTATCTATGCGTGTAAATATTTAATAATTTCAAGTACAAATTAAGGACTCTTAAAAGCATAACCCCCCCTTATTCATCTCATTTTAAATTCTAAAAATAAAAAGGAAAAGAATTCCTGGAAAGTAGTTATTTATGCAACTTTAAATAGAATGGAAAACCGACAGAACAGATCCACATTCACCTTCGAGGGGCAAACAAAGAGCAGAGTTTAGCTAAGCCCACCTCAGAAACACCAACTTCCCGCACCCGCCTCATCCAGTATTATGACACA